TTGTACATAGGGTCGCTATGAGTCGCAAACTACTCGATGACACATAACAACAACAATAACAACAATGGGGGAAATGCTGTCAAGGATATTGCCAAGTGTTGAAGAGCAATGATGTCAGTTTAAAGACGGAGTTGCACCCGATTGAAGCCATATTCTTTACAATCATTTGCTTTGCATCTGAAAGTTGATAATGACTAAGGATGACAGAAGAATCAATGCCTTTGTGTTGTGGAGTTGGAGAAGAGTACTGAATGTCACATGGACTCAGAGAAGAACAGATAAATATGTTTTGGGGAAAGTGCAATCAGAGTGAGTCAAGGATGGTGAATCTTTGTCTCACATATTTGGGCATGTTGTTTGGAGGGGCCGGTCCCTGGAAAAGCACATCATGATCAGAATGGTGGAAGGTCAGTCAGGTAAAGGGAGCAAGACCTTCAACAAGATGGATTGACACAGTCTCTGTAACAATGGCCCTAAAGTATCAGAGATGATGAGGATGGTCCAGGATAGGTCAAGGTTCAGATCTGTCCATAGGATCACCGAGTCTTCCTCGACTCGATGGTACCTACCAACTACAACAAACCATAAGGAAATAATAGGAAGTGAATCAGTCCATGGACGGATGTTTTTGCACCTTCTCTGTCTCCCGTGGGAATGAGGAGCATATGCCTGGACTCAATTAGGATCTGCCTGCTGAGGACTACTGTCCCCTGGTGTCATGCTCTTTAGGTGCTCAGTCACCATGACATTGTTGATAGCTCAAGTGTCCCCTTAACCCAGTCAGAATCTGTCCCAAGGACATGTAGAACTAAAATGAAAACCCTCTAAGTCGGAGTGCTTTGGATCTGAGGCCTGGAGACAAGCTCAGCTCCCGGAGCTGAGATCCTTGAAGGTTTCTGGGCCTCTGCCTTTCCAGAGTCTGTTCAAATCGTCAGGAGTCTTCAGTCCCTGGAAAAAGACATCATGCTTGGAAAAGTAGAGGGTCAGAGAAAGAGAAGACACAGAGTGAGCCTCGTTGACACAGGGACTGCACCAGTGGCCATCAGCAAGGAGAGCTCACGAGGATGGAGGTGGACAGGACAAGGCTTTGGTCTGTTGGTCACAGGGTCACTGTGAGTCATGGTTAGCTCAGTATCACCTAAAGAGAAAATACTTGCAATGTTAGTCATTCTGAACAGGAGTGGAGAATGGGCAGGACACAGGTATAGGGGAAGATGATATTATGCCGATAATCACACGATGAGTGTTCTTCTAGAAGCCCTTGCAGGAGTCTTGTTGAAATAGGAGGTTAGCTTGGATGAAGATGTCTGTCTGTCTGTCTGTCTGTCTGTGTCTCAGCATTTCTACCTTCTCTCATGCATGTACACAGCCACCCCTTCTGATTCTTATCATAGTTATGGGCTGTGTATTGTTCCTCAGCTGTGATTGCTAGTCTGAAAATACACCTATATCAGTCCAAGACGCTCTGTCTTCTCCACCCCCAACCCCACCCCCGCCACCACCACACACACAGAGAGACAGAGAGAGAAAGAGAGAAAGACAAAGACAGAGACAGACAGACAGACAGAAAGACCCAGTGTACCACACACATTGGGACCTGCTGAGTCGCAGAACTTGAGACTAAATGAGAGAGTGGAAACGCAGGGAACGAGCAGAAGGACCATGAGAGCTTGGATCCCTAGGATCCTGGAAAATATGCTCATGGGGAGGGAAGGTGGACGTTGACGACCCAGTTGAGACAGTTGGTCAACGAAGCAAGCGCTCAGGCATCAGTCAGTATTTAAGGAACCAAAGGCTCCAGAAGTCAAGGTGAGAGGAATCAAAAGGATCTGAGATATCACCTCCCACACTGCCCTTTTGACCTGATGAGGAAATGAAGGTTCAGAGGGCTGTGTGTTTTAACTCCAAACTAGGGAGTCTCAATGATACATAACAAGGTCCTTTAAATGTTCCTGGCAATCCTGTTGTTTTCAAATCAGCATCTGTTCCAGCACAGTATTTAGAGGTGCACTGGGACTTCATTGATCCTACAGGGAGCTCTGGAGGTTGACTCTGTAGGGGGTTGAATTCTGTGGGCTTATGAACAGAGAATACTGGCAAGTATATAATTGCAAATAACACACTTTATTGGGAGCTTTAAAGGCCAAAGTCCATTTTATAATTTCACACAAAATCAATCCAAAAGGTAAGGCATTAAAAACAATTCAAATCTTAAGAAGCAACCAACTATTAATCTCCAAACAATTATACCTAGCAATTAATTGTCCCTAGCCAGTCTTCAAACAAGCATATCACTTGTTTAAACATGCGTGGGGGTTGTTTGTCCTGAAATCCTGCAGGGGCGCTGTAGAGAGAGGAGAGAGGGGATCCACTCTTGTGATACCTCTGATCTGCAATTTGAGAGTCAGGTTTCTAATGCCATTCCTCCATGCTTGGAATAACCACATCCAAGTTTCCCAAAGCCAGGGTTTCACCAATTAGAATTGAGGAATTTCTTCTCCTGATAAACACTGCAATCCTGCAGGATCCCTCTCAGAAAGGCAGACAATCAAAACTGGAGTGCTTCATTTCTAGATTAGCACGTTAGACCTCTAGATCTAATTTGAACATTTTCTGCCTAGCACATTAATTGTCAGGACCCAATAGTGCATATTTAAAATTTAACATTTATAGTTTCTAGATCTGCTATAGCACAGACTGAGGCCATACTGAAAACTCCCTTCTTGCCTTTCTCTTATTTGACACACAATTGTTTAATTCTATCATTCTAAGCTTCGTTCTAATTTTCTAAGTAACAATTTGTTCTTAATATGAACACACACTGGCTTTCCAATTTCTAATCATCTAAACTTAAGCTTTATAAGCTTCATTCTGTATTTCCCAATATGCTCTTAATACTAACACACATTTGTTTATTAATTTTTAACATTCTAAAATGACATTTCATTCCCTGTTTCTAACAATATATAGTAAACCTGATGCCACCACGTATACTTCTTTCATTTCACACAGCCCCCTTCTAGCCACACTTAGCCCACTAGACATAATCCCCTCTAGCCAAACACGACACAGCAAACTCACATTCCTCTAGTAACATTCAGCTGACTGACTTGTGCTCTTAGCTTTACAGACTCCGTTTTCTAGTTCTAACTATATGTTCTGAGCGGGAGTTTGCGCTGCTGACCCAAAGGCCAGGCCTCTCTGGTGGTTCTATTTCAGTAACAGCTCCTTGGGCGAAAGTGATTTACGGCCTCTGAAAACTACCTGGAGCATCAACAATGACTGTCCCAGCTCCACCACAAGGAGCAGACAGACTGGGCACCATCCCCCCACCCTGTGGTTTCCCAGCTGAACTTTCCAGTAGCTGGTGTCATTCTGGTCCCTCACAGACAGTTCTTAAAAGAGCACAGAGCTTGATGAAGACATTCTTTACCATTGGGAGCTGCACAATTGCCTGGTTTTAAGACGATTTCAGGGGACATGTTTTGGTTTAAGGTTTAAAGGTGACCCAAGAGCAATTGTTTTGGAGCTTCATCCACCATCTCCTGTCCACAGCTCCCCTTCATCCCTTTAGCTGAAATAGTTGGCGTCTGCATTAACCCTTCCCTTGCCAAGCTAAGCTACAGAAATGCCCAAGTCCTTAAAAATCAGGTGCATAGACTTCATCATATAATGCCTCACCCCTGGTGGCAGCCCGCCTGCTCCTGGCCGTGCTGAGACACTCACTGTGTCCCACTCTGCAAATTCTCATAGATGTCAGTGAGAACCCTCACCATCTTCTTCAGATTCTCAATCACCAGCCTCACCTTTTCAGCTGACTCTGGCTTCGCCCCCTCATACAAGTGCCTTGACTCACTCACAAGGCTGGCCACATCGAACATAAGGAAGAAACCTGCGCTGGCCATACCCCCTATGCGGGCTGCCTTGGTCATTGACAGTACAGTGCCTCTTAAGGTGCTCCCTACCACGAAAATAGGTGGCCTCAAGAGGCGTGCATTGGCTATGGAAAGCTCGTCATTGCTTGCCAATCCAGTGTTGTCTTGGACCAGTCTGATGGCCCTGAAGTTCTCCCAACTCTTCATTCCATCTTGGATGCATTCATATAAGGCTCCAGCGGCTTCTGTGATGACCTCCTCCACATCATTCAGAACATTCAGACTAGCATTTGATAAAGTCTCTTCAGCTCTGTCTAATGCTGACAAATCCACTGAGTTGTCCACAATGGATGAGGTAATACTGGTGGCTGCAGCTGCTGTTCCCAGCCCCGTCCCAGCTGCCAGGAGCCCCAGACTGGCCCCCGCTGTCACAGGTGCCAGAAGCAATGAAGCGATGGTCAGAAGACCAGAGACGATGCCCACAGAATCGGACACCACATTGGCAATGGTACAGCCCCTGTGTGTCGCCTCAGAATTCTCCTCAAGGGCTTCAAGGTCCCTTATACAGTTCTCAAGTTTCTCTTTTATTTCAGGAAACTCACTAAGAAACTTGTCCACCACCTGCTGTTCTTTTTGACACACATCTTCATCTTCCATGGCCTTGTCTTTGCAAACCCTGTTCAGAACTTCACGTAGTGTTTCTGTCTCTGTCCTGTAACAACAAAGATCAAGTAATTAAGGGTCAGTCCTAATGTCTGAGTGATTCTTAGGGTCCAGCAAAAGGGACCAAGCTTCCAGGTCAGTAATATCGGATGCCTCTCCCCTGCCTCTGAGAGCTGCGGGTTGGCATGAAGGGGTGGAGTCATGCCACCCTAAGATGGGTTCCAGAAAATGGGAGAGGTGTCTAAGAGGGCTATAATAGGGGCAGAGCTTTGAGAGCAAGTCAAGGAACAGCTGTCCTTCGATGAAACTCAAGAGCTGTCACGAAAACACTTGGACGTCATGAAGGAAGCCATGATTCATGCAGATAAAACAAGCTGTTGAGATTACTAAGAAGCTGGAGAAGCAAGAGAAGAAGCAGTGACGGGGAGTCAGATGACTCACTGCACCTGCACTTAAGTCAGAAATACCGCATCAGAACATTACTGTAAAAATAGAAGGATAACTATTAAAACATGTATGGAAACTCAATGGGGGCAGAGCGGTGGGTGCGGGGAGGTGAGGATTGGTAGGGGTGAAACCACAGGATTGCACAGTTTCCTGGGTGGGGAAAAGGGTCAGAAAAGGGGAGGCTCCAGGCAAAAAGATAGGGTAATAGTTGGCAAGGTTCAATGGTGGCTGATTTTATGAAATATGATGCATGAGAAGGATTGTAGAAAACACAGTGTGAATGAAGAATAGTGTGAAACATAATGTATACTGAGCGTTGTAAGCAAAGAAATTAAAAAATTAAGTTAAATTAAAAAAATTAAAATTATATAAACCCAATAGTCCTCCTGGGGATCAGAAATGTGAGCAGACAGGTGAGAAACCCAAACAGAAGAAAAAGAAGAGGCCCCAGGAGGCTCCAAGGGAGAATGGAATGGAAGATCACACCAGCTCTACTCTCCCCAAAGCCAAGATAAAGAAATATCTTCCCAACGAGTTGGCTAATAGGGCTTTCAGTGGGACCACTGTAAGCACAAATGTCCCTGGAGGAAGAAGTGTTCCCCACGGAGGAAACAGAAGATGCTGAAGAAGCTGCAGCCCGTGTCCTAGAGAGAAGGGAGCAGCCCTTCAAGGGGCGCCAGGCAGCAGCGGGTCTGAGGCCTCTGTCAGCAACAAGCACCAAGAAAAAGGAAAGAGCAAAAAGGCCCTGGGGGAAGATTCGAGTGGACGTCCTGGGAGAAGAGCCTACCCAGCTGTTTCCCAATAAAAAGAATTTACAAAAGTTGAGTTTTTAAAAGACCAAGCAATTAAGAAAGGTCACTTTCTTGCTTGTAAAATGGGCTTGAGATGATCTATCCTCCGTAAATCATATCCATTTACTCTAAAACAAATGGAAAATAATTCTACAAATGGAACTAATTCTTCTCCCGAGTAAACATGGTTTTTACATCCCAAGTGCTCACAGGACTGACTGAACTAGGGGATAAGTGAGCAAAAACCATCTTCAGAGGCTCTCTCACTGTGCTTGTTGTTGCGGATTGTCTTCAAGTCGAGCACAACTAATAGTGAATCTATCCCAAAGGTACGCGGTTTAAATCCACCAGATGCTCTACTGGAGAAGGAGGGGGCAATCTCCTCCTGTACCAGTCAGATCTGATTTGATGGTACATGTAAAAATAATACAATAAAATAAAATAAAAATTTAAAACAAAAATAGTGAATCTATGAACAAAAAGCTTGAAGCCCCTCTACAACTATCGACATTTATCAAAGTTCATAGAGTTTCCAGAGGCTTGTTATTTAGGAAGTGGATGCCACTCCTGCTTAGGTGAAGGTATTTTCTCAGTCAAGGTGAGTGAGCACCACACGAAAGAAACAGCAGGTAAGAAGCTGTGCTTCAATCCCTCAATAAAGGACGCAGTTTGAGGCCACAAGCTGCTCCCTGTAAAGGTGGACAATCTTCTCCCTTGGGATTAACTTCCTCTGAAAGCCCTCCAGAGGGTTAGCTTTGGGTCGGTTCCAACTAGACAGCATGCATCAACAATAACAACATAGTAACATCTTCCCGTTTACCACGAATGCACATCTGACCAGGAGGGAATTTGTCATGATATTGGTGAAATGAGAGCATGGGCTGACTCCCTTTTCAGGTCGTTTTGACGCAAACAACCCACAGCAGATAATGACCTGTGTACACATCGCTCCGCACTTGCCCTGAGTTCGTGTTAATTTATGCAGGAACAGCTTAGCTGAGCGTGTGTATTGCATGTCATGGGATCAAGTCTATTATTGCTCTGTGTTCCCCGCAGGGGAGGAAAGGGATCTTCTTCCTGCATCACAAGACGAGTTCATGCAGATCATCTCCTTATTCCAACTAGGAATGAGAGCACCTGGTCAGTGGATACCGTTGTCCACTATTCAGATTGTTAGCACAATGGCCAGTCCCCCAATGAATAAACAGTAGTGGAACTGGAGTTGAACAATCTACCTCTATAGACTCTTAGTAAACTCAGAACTAGAAGTGTGAGCTTTGCCAGCACCTGCTCTCTTCCAAGGCCTGACGCCCTGATTCATCCTGGTGAAGGTCACTGAGTGCAGCCACTGCCCAGCTGACTGGGAAGCCTGAGTAGGAAGCCTGACTCCCGCTCTGCACCCAAAGTAGACTGATGCTTGACCCACCAGCTGACACGCCCCACCTCAGGACATCACCATCAACCTATCTGACACCTTAGATGCTAATAACTTGATATGCATGGAATTCAAGGCCATGAATAATCTTATGGAACTTCTTAAATATAACAAAGACTGAGGCACCATGTAAATGAATTATTCAGCCTGAAAAGACTTTCCTTTAGACAGATCAACAGAGGAAGCCTTTTCCTCTCTGGTGGGGATTTGTGAGGACACATATGGGGAAAAAACTCAAATTTTAAAACAAGGCAACAAACAAAAATGGCAGCCCCCACCCTAACTTTAGAAGCTGTCACTAAAGCAGATCCCTCCTTGTTACTCGGGGACCGTGTAAATAAGGAAAAGCAAACTGAAGCCTCGTCGTCGTAGTGTTGATCACGACTCGTGGTGACCTTACAGGACAGTCGAGGACCACCCTCCGAGGTGCTCCAGGGCTGTGATGTAAACTACAATGTCTTTCTAGCTTCAAGAAGTTAGTGGTTTCAAACCATAGACCTTGTGGCTAGCAGCTGAGTACTTAACTACTATGCCATTTGTGCTGTGGCAGATGAAGGTCAATTGATAGTGGAAAATGCCTCAGTAATCAGTCCTTGAAGTCCTCAAAGCCAGGAGGGGAGGAATGTCCTTGTCCCACTCAATGTCCCCAACCAGGTCCAGTGTGTCCATAAGTCTGTGACTCAGGCATCTGACCTCCTGCCAGCCTGGCTGTGCTCCCCAAGCCTTCCTACCAGCCATGCCCCCAACCTGCTCTGCCCTCACCCCCAGCTCTGCTCCTGTGTCCAGGCCTCCTTGGCTCCTGGGATGAGATAACTGCACTTGGTTCCCCAGCTGTGACCTGTCCCTCACTCTAAACCTTCACCACAGACCTGCAAGACTGATTCCTGTTGCCATTGAATGGAGATAGGTCAATGTCCCCTGAGACACAGTGGAACTTACTGATAGCCCCAGAGCCAGGCAGAGCAGAGTCAGGCCCCTACCCCGCTCACGTCTACTCCGCCCCAGCTTCTCTGAGGACCAGCAGAGGGATCCTGTGGGGTTTGTACAATGGTTTGTACAATGGGCAGAAAAGGTGCTCAGGAACACAGGTGAGAGAGCATTGGGATGAAGTCCTGTTTCACTCTGACCTCACAGAAGGAGATCTTTGGTGTCTGCTCCCTCCCTGCTAACCCTATAATTGAACAAATGTTACATATAGTCTTCATGCTGAACTCTTTACATCCATTATCTTGTTCTCCTCCCAAGAAAACTCAGCAGATAAGGACACTGGTGGTGAGTGGTGGAGTGTCGTGCCCAGAGTTAGACAGCTGTCAGATGGTGGCTAACATCCAGCCCCAGGCCCTGCTGTGCCAATGAACAAAGGAGGAAACATCCAGGGATCATTTATAACCCTATACCCAACCCAGGAAACTTGATGGAGGAGGCAGCTGACCCAGTAGGAAGATCTCAGTGCCATTTCTGGAACTTCCTGGAGGTTACCTGGACAGGTCTGTTGCAGTCATAACACTCTCCCAGGCTTCGTCCAAAACCAGCAGGATTTGTAATCCATAGCGGCTCATCCTGGCCCTGGCTAACTCAGTGATGCACTCGACCCGAGCGGATGCTGTGTCTTCTGATGGGAAAGACACAAAATTCATTTAGGATAAATTGTGGTGGCGCATACAAGATACTGAGTGTGGTCAGTTATTAAAGATGACCCTCTCTGTCACCAGGGTTAGTGTCACCTGGGCAGTGTCTCAGGACCTCGTGGATCAACAAGTCACTGCCAGCTCAGAGAAACAGAAGACCAGACGTCCAGCCCCAGACAGTGAGTGTTCCCCACTGGCATCCATTCACCATGTATGTTACGAGGCTCGTATGACGCAGAGTGGAACCAGGTTGTGCTCTTTGTGGAAGCTCCCATCAGCCTTTCTTTTGCAGTCCCGCTTGGAGGATTCTATCTGCATCCTTCTGATTATCAGCCAATCACAAATGAGCAAAACACCCAAGCCTGTTGACACCTAGTCAACCCCAATCCTTCAGGACAGAGCAGGACAGTCCCTGAGGTAGACAGTCACAACTTTCTCTCTCGGAGCAGCTATTGAGTTTAAACCACCAACCTTTGGGTTCACAGGGAGCTCTTAAGCACTAGGGGAAATATTGTAATAAGTAGCTTGAGATCAAGTAAGGATTCCTGTCCTAATGAACTTCCGAATGAGATGCGAGGTTTCTAGGGACTTGAGGATTGTGGGGCTGAGCATGAGGGCTGGTGTCAGTGTATATCCACGCGTGTGCTGAGACATGTGGAAAGCGTGTTGCTTTCCCACTGCCCCCATACCAAC